GGGGGGGGGGGGGGGGGGGGGGGGGGGGGGGGGGGTGCTGTCAAACTGGATGACGATGACGATGACGATGACGATTTGATGGAGATTTGAGAATACTTGGGGTAATGGGAGTCTTTTGGATTCAGGTCTGGGAGGATGGGGACTGTGGAGGAGCAGCCGGGACCTTCCAAGCCCAGTGATCTTGGTGGGAAGGAGAAGGAGAAGGACGACAGGATGTTCGAGTGTAATATTTGTCTAGACACTGCCAAGGATGCGGTAGTCAGCATGTGCGGACACTTGTTTTGGTGAGTAGATTTTTATGGCGAATGGGCTGTTGAGAAAAATTAAATTTGAGTGATGACACTTCACTGGGAAAATTGTGGTGGGAATTTCCACTTTGGACTGAGGAAGTGATATTGTTGACTATGAAGGAGTTAGGATGTCACTGACTTGTAATTAAATTCTTTTGTTGACGGTTTTTACTCGAGGAATTTTCAGTGCATGATAATTGTTGATGGATTGAATGTTTAGATAGGTGCGCAGTAGTCAATAATCAGTAGTCAAGTGGCAAAACGTATTCTCAAACACTTAGTTATCTCGATGATGAGGGATTCTATGGACAAATAATGGCGAAAGACATTTTTTACTGAAACTAATAGTGTTCGAGATAATTGCACTATTATCAAAAATTATTTTCTTAAATTGTAAATTATCTCCGTGATGACTGATTTTAGATAAAAAAAAAAAAAAAAGTCAAGGTCTCTAGGCATTTCTCGGAGAACCACTCGTTTTCGAGACGAATGGACAATCAACAAAAATGGAATTTGAGTCATGACACTTCACTACGAAAATTGTCTAGTAAATTCCCACTTCGAACAGACAAAATAATCATCAACTCTTGTGAACTTCGGGGGGAAATTGTTTGTTGAAATTCGATAAATCGCATCTCATTTTCAATATATTTGCATAATCTTTAAAACGACCTTTGACGCGTCCAAACCGCATCGTTCGACCCCAAGAAATTACAGATCAAAACAGAAGCACTCTCCTTCCCTCTCCCCTCGCTCTCCAAATTTCACCTCTGTATTGGAAAGGTCATGATAATTTCTTCAATCGTCAATGTTTTTATTCGCCATTCGTCTTGGGGAAGTATGTGAGAGTGGCGTGATGTAAAAAAATAAGTGAATATTTATAGAGCTCGAAGTCGGGGGCAAGATATCTTATATATTGTCTCTTATCTCCAGTATGTTATAAGATGCTTATCATGCGAGCAGAATGAATCCCGTTCCCGGAAGTAAACCTCCACTCACGATTTCTCAATCTCCGGAACAAGCCCATCATTTTTTATTTTATGGGGTCACATTTCCAAAGTAAACATTTTAAATAAAAAATCTAGGGAATTTTTTGGAATGTCCGGAAAAGGTAATAGAAAGTTTTTTTTTCAAAATTTTTGAAAAAATATGAGCAGTAACAATTGCGAATTCGTATTTTGAAATTCAACTCCTACACAGCTAATTTCGTTATTATTTTAATAAAAAATTGCACCATCTATGTAAAATAGCCCGAAAAATATTTCTGAAAGAATCGAAAATATGTTTTTAATATTTTAAGGATAATTTTCCTGCCTATTTTACGTGAATAGCACAAATTTTTCTATTTTTCGTCGAGTCGAATTACAAAAAAATAATTCGTAATTGTTATTGTACACATTTTTTCAAAAATTTTGAAAAAAACCTTTGTAGCTCAAAAATTTGAGGCCCTGGACGAATTTTAACATTTTACGCATCTGCGTCTACCCTTAATATAATAAGAATAAGAATTAATTTTTTGACCTGTGGGATATTTTGTTTTGACTTGAATATATATTCTTCTTTATTAATGATTTATTAATTTATTTTTTTTATTACAGTTGGCCATGTCTTCATCAATGGTTAGAAACAAGACCAGCGAGACAAGTGTGTCCAGTTTGCAAAGCAGCAATTAGCAAAGAAAAGGTTATTCCACTGTATGGGAGGGGTGCAGCCAAGCAGGAAGATCCAAGGTAATTAATAATCCTCATGAATGACGTGGGACTCAGTGCGATGGGTTTTATTGACTGGGGCCTTCTTTATTTTTGCAATTCACAGAAATAATGTTCCACCTCGTCCAGTGGGCCAGAGGACAGAGCCAGAGGGTGGTACCACGTTCTCAGGACTGGGATTTGCGGATGGAGGATTCCACATGTCCTTTGGCATTGGGGGGTATCCCTTCGCCTTCTTCACGTCGACGTTCAATTTTGGAGAGACTCGACCAAGTGCTGGTGAGTGGGATTGACAAGTTTTTTTTTTTTGTGGAAAATGTCTCATGTTGAAGATTACTCTCTCCACCCAAAATATTGATTTACTAGTCAATTTTTCCAGCACAACGCTAACATTATCATCTTTTCCAGTACCCAGAGGCACTCCCCAGTTCGAAGACGACGTCTTCATCTCAAAGATATTCCTCTGGCTGGCGATAATCTTCATCGGGTGGCTCCTGATGGCGTAACCAAATCTTCCTCCCCAATTATTCGGTTTAAATCCACTATAATACACTCTGCATCAACTGTATAATCAATACCCAACTATTTCATAAACAAAGGTGTACCCAATGATCTATCGACTTGTGAATTTGAAAGAGACGACAACCGAGTTGAGCTGTATATATCCGAGGTATTCGAGGTCTAGGGAGATCAGTTAAAAGGTAGAACAACCCATCTCCCAACCCTAGCTTTAAGAATAATTAATTATAAGAGATTTCAATTTTATTCGTTGGAAGAAATTCAATGAAATTGTACGTGGGTTTGTGTACATACTATAAGTAATTGTTGACATCATTTAAATTTTCATTTTATTTATCATCCAGGGAATATAATAAAGACACTTGAGCAATGATAAATACTGAAATTGTGGATTCAATAAAGAAATGAAATTGAATAATTCCATGCGTTTGGGAAATTTTTTGGAATTTTCTGCTTCAATTATTTCGTAATATTGAATAAAAAGGAGTGAAAGACATTGAGAGGAGAGATTAAATTATTTTATTGTGCTGTTGCAGTTGTCTAAAAAATAAAATACAAAAACTTTTTGATTTAATTGTTGATTAGTTTTGAGGAGGTGTCGAGTTTTAATAGGCTTAGATCTCGTCTTTGGAGCGCTTGTTACGGGCGAAACCCTTCGCCTGGAGGAGCTCGTTGCACTCTTCTCTGGTGAGTCTGGAGAGTTGGAGGCGCTCTACCTCCTCGTTGTTCTTGTCGTAGAGGACGAGCTCGGGAACAGCTCCCTGGATGTGCTTGAACTCTGTTCGATCACTGGATCTCAAGTGATAAGGAAATTATAATTTGAGGCCTGGGTGGATTATCTTGGTTGTTTTTTTTATTTTCATAATCTGAAATGGTCTCCAATTGCTATTCAGTTTGCTATAGCCCTGGAGTCTCCAAAAATTATGATTGTGAAATGAACATTATCATGATAAATGATACAAATGATAGCATTCTTGTGACATTTTCTCCTAAAACAACTCACTATCGAGATAATTGGTTAATTGAACAAAAACATCAGATTGGATTCAACGTAATTAAATCTGTCATTATTGCTCCATTGGAGAAGATCTCACGGGAATCCCTTGTTGAAGATTTGAGGAGTTCTCCACAAAAAATGTCCCCTAAAATCCAACCATCACTGAGAGAACCTCCCTCACTAGAATCATCAAAATGAAAAAAATATCTTCAAACTCGAATATCTCGACATCGGCGGAGTGAAATCCAAAAAAGTTGTTTGCCCCTTCTCATTTCACCAACACTTCTGCACGAAAAATAATCATTAAAAGGATACTACAGCGGCAAATCCTCGAAAATGAACTGCTTGACATCAGGAAGACGATTCAGGGAGCACCCAGAGCAGCTCTGAAACCCAAAAAACCTGTCAATTCACCCCGAACACTCCCCAAACCCCGAATTGACCTAGAACCTCCAATAACCCCAAAGCTGATAATCAACAGCAATAAGAATAATAATAATACCTCGACAATGGCATGTACGTAGGCACTACCACTGGCCGAAACCCCCGCGCAGATCCCCATGAGTACAATAACACAAATTCCCTTCATTTTTTTATATTTTCGATTTTTTTTCACTGTCAAGTTGCTCTTGTTCGAACGATTCTTCCTGAGATTATTCAGTATTCTCCACTGTATATAACCCCTCAGCCAAGGACGCCCAGCAACGCCATTAGAACAACGAACGTCACAGGCGTCACAGAGCACCCGATAAACGTGGCGCAATGGCGTTCTCATGTTCAAGTAAGTTTTTTTTTCATAATTTTATTGTTTTTTCGAGAGTAAAGATTTTTCTGGATAATTTATTATTGACTTTTCAGGAGTTTTCGGCTAGAGAATTGCTCTTTTTTTTTGGTAGCTTGGGGGGGAGTCTTAGGGCCGGTGGGTGGGTAACCTCAAAAGAGCGTCTGAGGGATTTAAAAAACAACATGGGATAAATTATTGGAGTATTTGTTCGTTTTAGTTTATTTATTAATTTTTTTCGCTGGGGTTTTATATCGGAGGAGTGTGTGAGAGAATTTTGGAGGAAAAACACATTTGGAAGTGTTTTTTTGCTGGATATTTAGGGTGTTGCTTTGACTTATGAAGGGGTTTGTTTCAGTTTCGAATGAAGTGCCAGAGCATCCAGTTGTCTCACCAGTCTCTGGGTGCATTTTCGAGAAGAGATTGATTGAAAAATATGTTGCTGATAATGGAGTTGATCCCATCAATGGGAAGGAACTGACTGTTGAGCAGTTGATCGAAATTAATGGTGAGTTTTAGGTCAAGAGAAATTATTGACTGTTTCATTTCAACGATGAATTCAGGATTTTTCAAAAATTTTTACTCATTCGAGCTAAAAAAGAACTTGGTAATTAATTTTTAAGCGGAGATTAATAATCTCAATTTGGAAACCCAAAAAAAAATGATTGAATATTTATATCCATTCTCTCTCCTTTCCACCAGTAAGTCCAACAGTAAAACCAAAGCCGCCAAGTGCCACTTCAATCCCAGCGATCCTAAAGATCTTCCAGGACGAGTGGGACGCCCAGATGCTGCACGCATTCACCGTTCGCCAGCAGCTCCAGACCTGCAGGCAGGAGTTGTCCCACTCCTTGTACCAGCACGATGCAGCATGCAGAGTGATCGCGAGACTCACGAAGGAGCTGACAGCAGCCAGGGAGGCTCTGGCGACATTGAAGCCACAGGCGGGCATTGCTCCCACTGCCATTCCCCAGCCAGCAGTGGCAGTCGAGGCTGGAAGTGGTGCTATCCAGCCCACAGAGCAGGCTGGCATCACTGAGGATGTCATCCAGATACTCCAGGAGAGGGCGACTGTCCTCACGCAGGAGAGAAAGCGGAGAGGCAGGTCCATCCCTGAGGATCTACTGCCTGCTGAGAGCATCAGGACCTTCCAAACACTTGCTTCACACCCAGTGAGTGTTTTCTCCTTCCGAATGGAAGCTGCTTTCTAATCCGTCCATTCTTCCATTCTCTAATTTTTCGTGGAAATTACTTAGAATGATGCGATGGTTTTTGTCAAATAAATTTGACAATTCAATATTCATTTAAGGCTCCTTTTTATTTTGATAATCTGAAATGATCTCCAATTGCTATTCAGTTTTACATAGCTCAGTGTTCTCTCAGTGTAGGTGCGCTGTACATGGGACATATTGAGTCAAATCAACTTACAATAACGTGATGAATCATATAAAATCATAGTGAACTTTTTTAAAACTTAAACTGGAATAATTAATCTATTAATAATGGTCTATTTCAGGGTCTCCACAGTGCATCAGTGCCAGGAATTCTCGCTCTGGACATTCACGGTGCTGACACGAGTAAAATACTGACTGGAGGTGCTGACAAAAACGCCACAGTCTTCAATAAAGACACGGAGCAGGTGGTGGCTATTCTCAAGGGACACACCAAGAAGGTAACCAGAGTTATTTATCATCCTGATGAGGACGTCGTTATGACCGCATCTCCCGACTCGACGATTCGCATTTGGAACGTGGGGACGAGCCAGACTACTCTGCTACTGAGGGCTCACGACGCTCCAGTGACTGGACTGTCCCTTCATCCCACTGGGGATTATTTGCTGAGCTCTTCTCTGGATCAACACTGGGCTTTCTCGGACATCAGGACTGGGAGACTACTTACTAAGGTGAGGATTTTTTCTCAGGGATATAATCTTTCATTCAAAGGACGATGAGAGATTTAATCATCACTAACTGATGATTAAATTCTTTTGTTGATGATATTTTTTACTCGGAAAATTTTCATTGCATGTGGATCACGAATTTTTGAGAGAGATATTTATCGAGGAATTTGAATGTTTAGATAGGTACTCTGAAGATTATTCAGATATTTATTATTACCGAATGAGGTGAGAAGAGAATAATCAGTATGTAGTGAAGTGGTAAAATCAATTGTTCACGTATTCTCGACATTTTTTGGTAGAAATTTAATCAAACTCTCGAAACATTTCTCGTAGAACCACTCGTTTTCGAGATGAATGGACTGGAAAATTGAGAAAAATGAAATTTGAGTCATGACACTTGACTACAAAAATTGTCTAATAAATTTCCACTTGGAATAGAGAAAATAATCTTCAATCTTTCATCTTCTTCATCGGATTTTCCTCAACAGGTTGCAGGTCCAAGCAGTCAACCCCTGACCACTGCTCAATTCCACCCGGACGGTCTGATCTTCGGAACTGGAACCCAAGACTCTCAAGTCAAAATCTGGGATCTGAAGGAACAATCCAACGTCGCCAATTTCCCGGGACATTCTGGACCCATCTCAGCGATCAGTTTCTCAGAGAATGGATACTATCTGGCCACAGCTGCTGAGGACTGCTGCGTCAAGCTCTGGGATTTGAGGAAACTCAAGAACTTCAAGACTCTGCAGTTGGATGAGGGCTATGAGGTCAAGGATCTGTGCTTTGACCAGAGTGGTACATATCTAGCTGTTGCTGGGTCTGATGTCAGGTAAATTCATTCTCATTTTATTCTAATTAAATTTTCTTTCTATTCAATTTTAATTTAAATTGATTCCTCAATTTATTCCACTCACAGCCATCTTTGATTTAAAATTTATAATTTGTTGGGGGAACAATCGAGGAAATGAAAATGTATAGATCAAGCAAATGAATTAATAACAAATAATCACGGTGAAAATAATGAGGAGTTCCAGGAAAGAATGTTAAATTTTTTTTTTCGAGTTGAATTCTCAATAAAAGAAACCATCGCCATTTCCTGTCAAATCAATTCATTTTTAAGATAATTTCATAATTAATGAACAAAGGTCATTGATTAAGTTCTTTATCAGTGATTTTATGAAAAAATGTCATTCAACATTATTTTTTGGAAATTTAATTGTTTACAAAAACGGTCTAATGGCATTTTCTCGAAAATCCACTCATTAAGGAGTTAATCGCATATTTTTGTAAAATATCAGGGCTCATCATAATTAATGATCCCCTATTTTATAAATTCCAGAGTTTACTTATGCAAACAATGGCAAGAACTGAAGGTCCTCAACGATCACACAGCCACAGCAACGGGGGTTCGATTTGGCAGACATGCACAGTACTTGGCATCCACCAGCATGGACAGAACACTGAAACTTTATGGACTTCCCTAGGATAATAATTAATTTTCTCTCATTATTATTTCATTTTTCGACGCATCTCCGAGTAGTATTAAGGTCCATAAAGATAATGAAAATAACAACAGTAACGAATAATGAATAAACAATTTTAATAGTTTTAACATTGACCTGAGACTAATTTTGAAAATATTCAAGGCCCTCGAGGTACGCGAGGTACTCGATTGTTTTTCCATCTTAATAATGTAAAATATATCACAATTTCCAGTAGTCCCTAAAAATAATGATTGGACAATAAAAAAAAGTAGAAAAAAAACTCAACATTTTCAAAGAGCGTTTTTAATTTATCATGGTAATTAACGATTTGACAGCCATTGACTACTGTGACAAATGACGACCTAACAGCCATTAGATACATCAAATTATTAATTCGCAATTTCCTCCCTATCAGCTTTTTTTCAGCTTTTTTTTTATTGTACGAATAGTACAGATCACGTTTGAAAGATAATCCACCCGGGTACAGAGTGAATTTCAACAATTATTCTTTCATTTTGACGGCATTTTTTCAGGCTTTAAAATGAGCTCTGATTCTTTCACATCGCATCGTTCATTCGGAAGGTGTCGACCATTTAATGAGGTCTATTTTACCTCATCATTGTCCTCACAATGATTAATCATTAATCATTATTAATTATTAAATTCATTTTACTAGTTATTAATCATCATCATAATTAATTATCAATCATTATTAATGATGAGTGATTTATGATCATTAATAATGATTAATAATAAACAATTTTACTGACAAAAATGTTGATTACATCAATTATCATGAACAAGAAGAATTCCTTGAATGGTTCAGGAATTAATTCACAAGTCGCGAATTAAAAAATTATTTTCATACGCCGCGCGAAAAACAATCCCACTGCGCATCTCTCTTGCGCATATTCAAGATGGCGACTGGTTTCTAGTGCTGTACACAAGCGCTCGCCGTTTGTCTCCCGTATTTTCAATGAAAAATAACAGTAAAATTGCCTAAATAATTACTAAAAGACAATAATTCATTAATAATGAATCACAGTGATGATATTATCACGAAATTGAGGCCTATTTCTGCGTATTTGGAGCTCTAGACCCTCGGAAAACCGAAAGAAACTCGCGTCACTCCCCTGCGCAACTTCTCTGCGCACGCACATTGCAAATGGCGGCTGACGCAGAACAAAGGAATAACAGCTTGGCGTTTGTCCCACGTATTTTCGGTGAAAATCAAGGTAAAATCACCAAAATTATTATTAAAAGGACAATAATCAATGAATAATGATGGCTGGTGATGATTTTACTTTGAAATTGAAAATCATTTTGGTGAATTTCGACCTAACTGGAGCTTCTGAAAATTCAACAAAAAAAATTCAGCCTCGAGCCGAACGAAGCTTTTCGAGTTCTCTTTCTTGTTGTATTTTTTGGAGAAAAATGAGAGAACAATCGCCGGATGAACCATAAATAATGGAGAAAATCAATTTTTGAGTAATGAATGGACGATTTGAAAGTGGAGTGAGTACTGGAAGACGACTTGTCTGGACATGATCGACGGGTTTGTAACGCCGCAGGATGGCGCCTACTGGACAATTCCAGAGCTCCAGGAGAAGAGACGAGTGTTTTGGACGATTGTTCGTGGTTATTAACAATTCTAATTCATTGAAAATTTGATTAATTAGGGGGGAACGGATCAAGTGTGAGCGAGAAGGATTTTATCAGTGATTGATTTTCTGTAAAAAGTGTATCTAGGACTTTCGTTTCTACCGACGTAATGATAAATCCACAAGATGGAGACTTTCCCGCGTAATTCAGAGGTGTTTAATTGAAAAAATTAGTGATAGTGAAGTGAAGAAAAATGTTAATTAGTGTGGTGCGACGTCAAAAAAGTGAAAAATTCTCTTTTTTAGTCTTTAAAATTTCAATTTTTTTCCTCATGTGATCTCTATTATTTTTCGCGACTGGAAGTGTTAATTAGTGTATTAAAAAAGCTTGATAAAAATTCTAGAGTTATCGTTTTATTATTTTAAATCAGTGATAATAAAATCAATTGTTTTGTGAGTGCGAGTGCATCCTGATAAATGAAAAGTCCCAGGATTCCAATGGAAATTTGGCTCGAGAGCTGATGATGGAGCTGTTGAGTTCATCCAACACCGGTGAGTGATTCCAACCCACTCATTTATTTATTCTATCAATTTTTCGGCAAGTTGTCTCACTATTGGAGTCAGATAATTATAGGAAATTTGAGGGAAAGCAACAAAATTCTCTCAATTTTCTTTCATGTCATTTTTTTCATATCTTTCTTTCTTTAAATTTACACAATTATTATCTTTACATCGATATATTATTATTCAATTTATATACACTTGACGTCGATTCATTTGTTCTTAATCTTTACAACCTTACATATTTATATTTGTAAACGTTCTTTATAATTAATTACCTAGGAATATTTTAATCATTATTTTTTTTATCGGTTTTCCATTTATTTTGTATTAAACTAAGCACCTTAGGTACAAATTATAGTTCACTTTTCACAGCCATACGAAGAATTTGCTTTCCTTCAGTGAACAAAAAATAAACAGAAGTATTTGTGTGATGATAACTGATAATCAACAAAAAAAAAGAACAGTATGTCGACTTCAATATTTTCATCTGAGTGTGAATATTCTCTCGAATTAATAAAACATCGGGAAATTATTCTAATGAATTCGTTATCGTTTCGTCTCAAAAATTATATATAAAAAAAAAGTAATTTTGATTCTGCGACACACAACACGATTCTCTCGCTCTCGCAAATAAAAAATAAAAAATTTTTGAACCTTTTGGTGGGGATAAATGAAAAATAAATGGCCCGTGTCACATACTTTCGATAAAAATTAAACAAAAATATAAAGTTGAATGGAACTATACACTTTCGGTAACTGTAAATCATGTACATAAAAATTGCACTTAACTAATCGTTGTTCCGCGATAAAAACAATAAATTTCGGGGAATTTTCAGTGCAATGGATTTGTCATTTTGGAAATTCCAGTGTCACTCTGTTTCATTCGATATTATCAGTGGTGAAGGGGTAAAATGAATGAACTCGTAAAATTATTTCAATGAGTTATCGAAGTCTCTTGACTCAAATTTCGTTCTTGTCAATTGTCCATTAATCTCGAAAACGAGTGGTTCGACGAGAAATGTCATGAGACCTTGACATATTTTTTTTTCCTGAAACCAGTCATCAGTTTAACAAAATAATTTTTGTTGATAGTGCAATTATCTCCAACACTATTAGTTTCAGCAAAAAATGTCAAGAAAGCTTTTTGCAGAGGATTAAATATCTAACAAAAAACGTCTCTCGACATTGTTCCATAGAATCAGTTATCATCGAGATAATTCAATGTTTAAGAATACGTGAACAATTGATTTTGTTCATGTTCTGTTGTGTTCTACCTACCACTTCACTACTGATTATTCTCTTCTCACCTCATTCGGTAATAATAAATATCTGTAGAATCTTCTGAGTACCTATCTAACCACCATTCAAATTCCTCAATAAATATTCATCATTCTAAAAAATTCATCATTCACATGCAATGAAAATTACCCGAGTAAAAAATGGCAACAAAAGAATTTAATTATTTGTTAGTGATGCTCTTATCGTCCTTCACTGACTCATCACACCCATCATAACTGGCACCCTTCGTATTCACCAATTTTCCCCAGAAGTTGAGATAAGTTGAGGATTATTTTCTCTGTTCGAAGTGGAAATTTACGAGACTATTTTCGTAGCCAAGTTTCATGCCTAAAATTTCATTCAGATCACCTTGACATTTTCCCCCAAATGCTCAAATTGAGCAAAATGTGAACAATCATCTAGATGACAACCCCAATTTCAACAAAATTTCACTTTGTTAAATCTGCGGTTATCTTGACGGAAAATCTTGACTCTAACAGAAAATGTCAGAAGATGATTTTTGTAGTTGATGAAATTCCCCACAAAAACCTTTTCTCATAGTTCCCCCTAGACCCAACTCTTGTCAAGACAATCCCCTCAGAATAACTCCCAAGAATTTCAAACACTTACTCCCCCATAACGCTTCAAACAATGCTCTCCCTCTCCCCCTGCAGCTCATACCCAGCAATGACCCCTCTCCTAATCGACACTTCACTACTCCTCAGTCCATTTCCATTGAACAAATTCACCAGCCAACTTCTAATTGAATTTCTCGCCGAGCTCTTCTTATCAGGCACCCCATCCCCACTAACATTAGTCACCACGTGATCCAGTGATCTCCACCTCTTTACACCCCCCAGACCCTCCCCCTCCCCCTCCCCCTCACTCGTCCCCGTCATCTCTTCGTGCCCCAGGAGAGGAGCATTCACCTCCTCTTGGAAGTTCTCCTTGAGGATCACATCCCCATTGGGATAATTGTTGTTGAGACTCTTGAGATTTTCCTTGGAGCTCGTGAATTTCTCGCAGTTCTCGAGTGATCGAAAGCTCTTCTTCGGTTCTTTCCATCTCAAGTGAGGGGATTCACGGCGGAAATCACTGGGGAATGGATCCAGGGACTTGGACTCTCGAATTATTGTCGAGGGATAGTCGGAGGTGGTCGAGGAGGAGGCGATTGTCGACAAAACTCTCGCATTTTTGTTGAGTTTTGGCTTTCCCTCGAGAAAGAGATCGTCGAGGGCTAGTTTGATGTTTGCAGCCCTTATCTCTGCCTCTTCACTGACTGTTCCCTTGTCCAGGGTCGTTTTGGAGAGGCTGTCGATGAGGAAGAGGGGATTTCGCTCGAGTTTACCCAGTCGCAGGTGTCGGGGGACTGGGCTGGCATTACCACACTGGGAGACTGCGTCGTCTGGGCTCGGTCGGGGAACTGCACTCGTACGTCGTGAACCTGCACCCAGACCTCCCAGGAGGGACGCCTGGCGGGAGTCTGGGTTCAATTTGGGGCTTCGACGGGGTCGACAGAAGAGCGGGGCGAGGTCTCCCACGTCCACCT